TGATTGATTTCATTTCTTAATTCAGGGTTACGTGTCTCGCTGACCAAAGAAGTTCTTCGTGTGGTGAATCCATACACCTGATGGCTGCGAAGGCGCATATTGACAGTATCGTGGCTTATTTATCGAGGAAATTTGTTTTTCTAATTGCACATAAATTGTAAGCGACGTTCTTAAGCAAATTTTTTGCAACTACAGAATGCGGAGCTCATGTGCTCTGATGAGGATTCAAATTTAGAAAAACTTTATTCGACATGCAAAGATGAACTTAATTTTTTTAATTTCTTCCCCGTGTGTTGCGGTCGCGTATATGAAATCTGAAAGCACTTCTTTGAAAATTGTCCAGCGAACACTTTCCATGAATGCGTATTTTTTGAACTAGAAATAAGTCGAATTTGTGACGTTTTAACACAATCAGATTGTTAAAACTGAAATGATGTTTGAAAATTCAAAATTTATTTCAATCAGTTTAATTGCTCAACAAGATTTGGTTTTCGAAATTCTTCACGAATTGTAGATTTGTTTTGATAAAAAGGATCAGATTTTCGATTGCCGAATCCAAAATGAATTGGCTGAAAATGGGTATCAGAAATGCGATGCTTATGTCAGTCATTCCAGGGCTTCAGTTCGGTCCTGGTTTCTTTTTTTCCCCGTCAAAGTTGAGGATTTTTTGGAAGCCCAAAAGACTCGTCCAGTGCGTCCTCACGGCAGGTTTGTCAGATTTCTGGTTGATTCAAAAATAAGTTGGCTCAACCGTGACGTAGAAAAATGGTAGAAGACGCTAGGGGATGCTTGCGTCTTCTACCTGTAATCTACGTCAAGGGGATACGCTATTACAGGATACTTAGAACGAATTGAAATTAATAAGTACACCGTTCTAATCACCCGGGTAGATAAATGCATATAATCATGACTTAAATATGACGTTTCACGGAAAACTAAACACCTGAGGTTTGTTGCTCAGGGTGGGTGTCTTGATTTGCAAGGAGTAAAATTTTAGGGAATTAGAAAATCAATAAACAGAACGAGACGTTGTATGTAAAACTAGAATGATTAATCGTATGTTTTAATGGTTTGGAAACGAAGACTTTAAGACGTTTTAATGTTTTGGACTATGAATTAATTTTCAACAAGTGATGCTCGTGAGCTCGGAAATAGGATACCGCGGTGCATATGCGAAATCACTTTAAATGATAATTAATCTTTACAGAGGTGGAGACATTAAATTGGCGAGTTTAGAGTTGAATTTTTAATTTAAACTACAGGGAATATTTATGTCTTTAACTGTATCAAATTTTTCACAGATAAAAAAATATTTTTCGAACCGTGAAAAACTAAATAAAAAGAAGTGCTGATATCAGTCATACAAAACAAAATATGTTGAACCAGGATAATAGTAGGAAATTCGAGATGCTTAGACGGGGTTGCAATAAGCAGTTGCTGCTTTGTAGATGTTCCCGAAAACTCGAAACGGATGCTCCATGTTGCTAAACTAACGAATCATTTTACCAAGAAACGCTCTAGAACCCCTGACTTTAAATACCCTTTTATTCTACAGATGATATCAGTAAATATATCTAATTAAGGTCACATAGAATCTAAAAACGAATTGACGGTGAGAAATGGTGAATTTCTCACAAGAATTCTCACTGTGCAATTAGTTCCAAATTTAGTCCAAGTAGCATTTTTCAGAGTCTAGCAAATTTTAAGCGAAAATGCCTCCAATGAATAAAGCATTATAGTTCTTCGTGACAATCTCCCGTTTCATGGATTAAATTAGTATTGAATTTCCTTCTGCTTTTGGAATACGTGCGGTTATGTTCTCTCTTCCTGTGGTTTGAATATAAAATATTATTGTAATTAAATGAATTAATGGGACTCAAAATAATGGACTGAATTTAGAAAGAACGAAAAAAAGCCCATCATAACGTTTAGCTTACACAAAGAAGCTCGATCTATGCCATAGAAGAGGTGCCAATCTCGCGCCACTGAGAGCCAATAGTGTGGGCAACTAACGGAATTGTTGTAGCGGATAAGTTCAATTTAGCTAATTTCTTGATGGGAGGTTCGTAACGGAATCTGAGCGCGTGTTCAACAGCTTGCTCTCTCATCAACAGAAGCGGCATGTTCTACATCTGGTACGCGGACTGCCTTTTCGCCTACAATACACTCAGTTTGCTGTGCAAATGAGACCATTTTTTACTAGCGGCTCTCGCAATTTTTGTGGGCTTCAACTCCTTAAGAAATAGTCTGCCTCTTTGCTCCACATTACCCTTTTTCGTTCTGTTCATTTAGGCAACTCAACTTGCATCCATTCTTGTCATAATCAATGTTCGCTATCAATGCGAGTTTTTGTTAATTAATATACTATTTCTCAAAGTTGGATTCTTGTTGTGCGATGTGCATGATATAAGAATGCGACTCGACTTAGATTGGATTCCTTTGATTTGTTTCAATCGTAAGTGGGTGATTGAAAGGATTCATGACTATATTGCTATTCTTTGCAAATTTTCATGATAAATCGCGCTAAATGATCGCATGCACATATTGTACTCGTACCTATGTATTGGTATTTTTTATTGAAGAATACCGTTTTCTTCATTTTTACAACAATCGCTACAAATTAAAATACTTAAGACTGTGAGCTGTGCCTCTAAGAGTATTTTTTTCAAGTCAATGTCATTGTCAAAACTTCCTTGACATTATGTGTATATGAGACATATATTTTTGGAGACGTTTATTTATTGCGATTGTACTCTATATGTAGATATTCTGGTCCAGCGAAACCTTCTAAATAGCGACGACGTTCCTGCGTAGTCTTAATTACAGAGCTGGACGTCGTTGCGGTATCATCCTTACGGCGAAGACTAATTTGGTGATCGTGATCTTGCATGTTATTGGTTTGTATGGTCTTAACTTCTGCGTATAGCTTGATCATTCGCAAAACTCATTGCGTCTTTTGGAGTTACTTGAGTGTACGTGTGAGATGGTTAGTCACTTATTTGTAGTACTTGAAAGAGCGCAAACTGATTGTTTTGATCCATACTAGTACCCGCATTAGTCACATTATCCACTCCGATCGATATTTTAGAATAACTGAAGAATACGGTAGTATTAATATTATGATTGGTCCCTCATGATCCCGCAGTTGTTTTCTACGAGCATGTTGAGGATAATTTCGAATAATGATTAGACTCGTGTTTGAAACTTATATTATTCACTCAGTACGCACAACTGCAATTAATGAATGCGAATAATCGAAGCCAATGATGCTATTTAAGCTTGAATTACGTTCCAGAGGACGCCATGTCTGTAAAAAGTTTAAATAAATGCTGCGACGTGTGGTCTGAACTTATAACTGTATCGGCAGCGGACGGACGATTAAGCTAACGTCGCGTTTCTGACGATAAGGTCTTTTGAAAGTTGGTGGGTGGCGTTATCGCACCTGACGTTCACTGAGGTTATCGCGCTTTCCTGGCGCTCTTGCTCCATGCATGAGACTTCGTTGCTCAATCGCGCACACAAACATTTTTTACGAACCTTGGATTCGCATAGTAATTTTCACGTCGTCGAACATTTGAATAAGCAGAATTCTCAATGTCAAGTCCATGCTGGACGGATTTCGCTTAATATTATTATTTTTTCGCTTGATATTTGTACACAGTTCCGTTCAATGCGTTCTGGGTGAATTTCCCATATATATTTATTTGCTCAATCGCACAACTTGAGTGTTACAGCAGCACAATGTTCTCATCATTTCAGCTAAAAACGTTTACGAATATTGACTTTTTGTGACCGCAAAGACGCGTTCATGCAAAACGCGGCGCAGCGGAGTGCTGGCAGGTTAACGTTTCTCAGCTGATCTATTGCAATAGGCGATTGTCTGTATAATCGAAGAAAAAGCTCATGCGTACACAATGCTTCCGATTTCTTCGAGTCGTTTGCTCACTTCCTGCAAGTGGCGCTTTCATCTCAATTACACTTGCTTCTATCAGCCATTGTGCGCTCGACACTCAGCAGTAAAGGGAGTGCGTGTACTGCGAGCAAACGCTTGCTATGAAAGGATATGTTTTTAGTAGCCATGCAAAAATTCCTTGCATGAGAACGAGCCTAATTACTCAATAGTCATTGTCTCGCTCTATGTTATTAAGCGAGACAATGTTAACGTTAACATACGTAATGTTAGACATATTTCGTATAAATGTTTTGAGTAGTAGTGCTTCGTTCAAACTAATTGTTATACAAAAAGATGTATATAAAAAATGTATTATCTCAAAAGTTTATACGAAAAACTGCCATGTGGCCTAACTCGACATGTTTTTCAATAACTGCCCCCGCACCTAATAAACTAATATGCAGCAATTGCATTAAAAACCATGTTGTTTGTTCGCCCATTCAGTTCTTTATTTGGATCTAGTTTTCGGTTATTTTCTAAATCATTTAGCGCGTTTGCATTAAAAAGACGGAGGCTACATTATTTTCAGTCATCTTATTGAGATTTGTACATTCAACTGCTCAAATTTCAGTCCAATTATTCATTTATTAATTCAAATCAACTATGCGCTGTAATCATATACAAACATAGTAAATAGACTCTTATTTTTGATGATAGAATGAAGGCTTATTATCTTCGCTACAAGTGATGAGGCGGAGCAGCTTATGTCCAGCTTTTGACGATATTAACCTCTTGAATGTCAACATGCATGTCTACATATTTATGTTTCAGTCCAGTGTTCATTTTTTTTATTTGTTTTAAACGACTGCAGGGGACATTTCTCCTGTTAGTTTTTGTCATATTTACTTGTTAACAAAATATTTACCGACCGAATTCTTGGCCGTATAGTATAGGCCGGGCAACGATAACCCGCTCGTGAGTTCTATTAGGCACTGTTAAATTTTCCTTAGTTTAGATCATTAGCTCGTAATCGTACGGGCATGAGATGTATCGTCTGTTGCTGCCACAATAATCATATAATCATGCGCAAATAATTTTCTTGCAGAGGTTCTCTAAAAAATTTGTTAGTTAACAATGTGGCGAAGAGTGTATCAGCTCCCTTGTTTGCATTGTTCTTGTGTTATGTAGGTGCTTTGTCGATTTACACTGTAGTTGAAGTGAATTAAAATCTCGCATTGCTCCAGTTCACCGTCATGGAAAAAGTGGAAAAGAAGCTTACGCGTTTTCGAGCTAATCTCAAGACCAAGCGGAAGCTCTCGTTGCCGATGTTCATTAACCACTTCAACCAACAATGGGGAGATAATCAGAGCCCTGAGACGGCGGGTGCTGGGGCGTGTGACGATCTGCAAGAGGATGTCGAAAACCGCTGCGTGGAACCTCCTGATGCGCAAAGCTGCTCCAAACAAAACAGACGTTACTCCTACAGCAAGAAAAAGCATCCTAATTCCAAGGGGGCAATGCTCTCAACCAATAAGGTGAACACGAATTCTGCTAATTTCGGATCTCTTGCGTCCATTGTCTTTGAATCAGAACGCGAGGCGCTCAGGAGGAACTTGTCGCTTTCGACTTCAAGTGGCAGCGCGAGTTTCAGCTCCAGGAATCGGACCAATTCAACAGCTTCGTCCACGTCCTCGGACTCGTCGAGCAACTCGTTGAATGGCGCAATGAAACGCGACTTTTCGACGCTGCCTCATTCCATCTCGGCCACAACGGGCCTCCACCTCATTCTCCCTAAAGGTCTTCGTAGCTCCTCGACTTTGCCGCTTTCGTGCGCCTCCGGAGTGCCGTCACGGGCCTTCAACAAGGGCCTCGTTAAGAGCCCCAGCGTGAACTCTTACATTCCTTACGAGACGTCAGGTGCGCCTTTGTCACGATACAATTCTGCTGCGACCGCCTCGTCTCAGTGCAAAAATTCGGTTACGGCTAACGGCTCTGTTCGCTCGAGTTACGCGGACGTGAACAGCAACAGCTTCAACAATAACAGCAACTGCAATGGTGAGCGATTGTCGACGGCAAGGAACCGAGGGCGCGACCGACACGCGCATCATCCTCATCTGGTCGCCACGATATCGTCGCCTGGTGGCAGCACTTTCACTTCGTTCGTCCTGCCTAATGGTGAGTAATGGCTTGGATGCTGATGTGTGTGTTATTGCTGCCCTATTGCGAGGATGCGCGTGTCAATATTAATGCTGATCAAGTAAAAGTGTGTTTTTTCTGAGAACTATGGAAATTAAAATCGGTTATTTAATCAGTTAATATCTATTATTTAATGTTAATCTGAGCAGTTATTCCTGCGGTAATATGCATGTTCACGTTATTGCTACCGACCACGATACATTTTGCTCAAACAAATATTACTAATGGATACACAAAGGTGAATGCCCTCTAATATATACTCTGTACATGCCCGAATTTTTCATTTATTTAAAACCTGAATCGCACAAAATGAATTTTTTTTGCTAATTTGTAGTTCGATTTATCGATTATTTAGTAAGAAATTTTTTACTAATGCTTTGCTCTATTTCGCCATTATTTGATACTGGAGCGTTTCAACCTGGTGCTATTTCATTCATTCCCTTTCATCGAATGCTTTCAATGCAGAAAAGACGAATCTCGACGATCCGAATTTCAGACAAGTGTAAATTGATTTTTTGTTTAATTGATGTTTCAGGGTCATTTTCGAAACGTGCTTAAGCATTTCTTAACAGCCTGTGTGCACTCTCACACTGGCTGGGCGTATACCGAAGAGCTCACTCGAAACCCTGAGGGAACACAAGCCTGACGATGACAAAGGGGTATAGCGTTACTAAAATACCTCGATTTTAACGACGCTCACTTTACGGGCGTTTCACACCCTCATCAATGCCAGGCAAAGTGTGATGAACGATGAGATATAAATCATGGTTCACTTTAACTTAATTCGCTGCAAACACACATTATTTTTTAATGGGGTACTTTATTATAGTTTGTGCCGGCTAATACTGCGCTGCAGAGAAGTAAAATGCTCAATTATTCAAAAAATTATAATGATGTACCTTACATAAGCTCTATATATGTATATTTATCTGCAGTATTTTACAGCAAGTTGCTAGACAAAATCTATCCTATTGGTCAGTTGATGCGAGTTCTGCCGTACGTTGGGACCATTGTAACTTTACCCAATTTCTCTAGTCATTGGGCGTAAAGATATATTCAGCTTGCAGGGCGAGGATGAATTTGTGTCTGGTCAAGAGACGAGAAATTTGTGCCGCAGCATCTTCACATTTGACCAGCTTTCTACTGACATTCTCTGGTGCTTTCGGGCGTCCCAAGACGGGACAAACTCCCATAAATGAATAAACGAGTCTTACATATATTGATGACTTGCCAAGAGGAATCTATCCCAAAAATATACGATACAGAATATGATACATTAGAAGGTTGGCTCAGCCAACAACCCCCCAACTCCAGACCAAAGAGGATTATTCATCTAGATGAGGGAGATGCAGCAGTGGTGCGGGCATGTTAACCTTGACTTGTGTTGCTTGCATGACCTCATCAAGCGCGAGATGAGACTGGACGCCGCAAGTTACGACGAGCTGACGAAGACGCTGAGCTGCCGTCCCGACGTGGCTACCTCATCACCACGTCATTTATGCAGCGCCGACAATTCAATTTAGTGCCATCACGGCGCCCGTGAGCTTATATCACGGTCTCCTGCGCCGCCAACTCCATATTAAACTGGAACGTTTGACTCGTGAAATATGAAGCCAAACTCACTACCGTCCGCTCATAGCCAGAAAGCTCTGGAAGTTCAGATTAAATTCAAAGCTTTCTTAGTCATTTTCTTATATGATGCGAAAACAGGAATAGTGCGTTCGAATATTTAGTGTGCGTATATGTCATGGAAAATAATTGTATATGATATTCCTGAGCCTGTTTGAAAATTTGTATAATCCCTTCGTCCATGCACTTTCATCGATCTCATGTATCATGTTTGTTAGAGTTATTCTGTTAAAGTATGGATGTTATCACAAACTTGTAAATATAGCCAAATTTATATTGCTTAGAAAGCAGTTACTCAGTGCAAGAATTATTTTTCTTTTGTTTCTAGTGTAGTTTGCGATTTGAAAGTAACATATTCATTCAAATCTATACGGGCTATCGAAATATTTTGAAGTTGAACGTCCAATTTAAAGTTTCTGTCCACCTTCCAGGTTGATTGATCTTTTTCGATTGCAAGAAGCAGATATTCTTTATATTTGAGTGCATAATCTGAGCGATGGCCTCGCCTGTCAAACTTTACTCGTTATCGCAGCCTGAAGAAGACTTGGGGCTCCTTAGAGTCGATAATGAACTTCAAAGAGCCTTTTGGCTAACGTGTGAAGAAGCTGAACGGGAATTCGCCGTCGAATAATACAGAGCTTACAATAAGACGCCTCAGCTGCTATAAAGTGGGAAATTAGGTGCACATGCGATGTTATTTAATTAAGAATACTTGTGCTTAGTCTTGAGCGTGCCTCAATGGTACGCCTTACTAACGTTATTGGATATGGTACTTCACAAGCACTATAGAGCCTCACATGGTTGATGCCGTCGTATATAGTTAACAATTTAAATGTTGTTCGTAATTGTTATCGATAGTCCCTTCATTAATTGGTGGAGAGCACAGCCGCCGTGTGGGACCAGCATTCGGGCTTGCGGAGCCGTCGTGTGGGACCTGCGCTCTCTGGCTGAGCTCCTTTGTTCCAGTAACGGACCGATACTCGGTCACGCACCACGAATTTTGAAAATTTATTTACATGATTAAGTTTTTTGCTCTGATTGTAACTAATGTGTAACTTACGAGACCCATTTTGTTTGTTTATACTTCGCGTCTAATATCTGTGGTTGACTTGTTTCTTTCGGAATATTTATAAAAGGTGAATCCTTGTGGAATGAACTGACGTCCACGAATAACTTCCTTTGCATTGCTTTTGCTCTTTACAGAGGGAGCTATTCATATTGGAACGTGCTCCAGACCTGCTTGTGTTTTGTTAAGTGTAATAAACCAAATTTTATTTTCACTAAATTCAAGCTGGGGTGACCGTGCATCCAGTTTATATTTTTCGAAAATTTTGAGTATCTAACGTCGGCCCTTCAGCTGCATTTTTGTTGCAACGTGCGGAGAAGCTGCCTCGCCCAGCGGCTGCCTCGGGACGACAGCGACGCTGTTCCCCAGTCGTCCATGACAGCCTCGGCTTATTGGGCTGCCTCTTGTATAATGACCACTTCGGCTGCCGTGACATCATCTTCTATGGAATTGACATCTGACGTCTGATTATCATTTTTATTCACGAAATTCTCCCAAACTTTGTTAAATTTAGGATTATATAAAATACTCATGAACTTAGTTACATTCGACTTTTTACAATACTAATTGCATTATGATCGGACTTTTGTTTTTCGTTTCGGCCTGCTATCAGTAATTTGTTCAATGCATGATATTTTTTTAGTTTTTTAAAGAGTTTGAATTGATAGGTTAGTGCAGATAGACATTAGGCGTAATAGGAAGATATTGGATGCAATCGGTTTCATATTGAGTTGTCGGCCGTAGTAACGCAATTAAAAGAGCCAGCGTGATACCAGATAGAAGTAAAACGATGTTACGAATATCACAAAATAAGTAATAATAACATACGAAAATGTAATAGGATTTTCTTTAGATGCCAACAAAATTTCCTTACAAGATGTATCTGAAATCAATAATTGACAGCTTTTTTCTAAAGATCAAGTATGGTCTCATCTGCCGGCTTAATTATCTTATTTGTTGTCGCTGATTTAGGTTGACCCTCGTTTGTTTCTATTATTTGCGGGGATTATGGTAATGCTTCAATGGCGTGAAGTTGCGACTCATGCCTCGGTAAAGATTATTTAACTGCAGCGCATATGTACCTGTACATCGGACGGTGCTGCGACGACAGATGGCCGTTCATAAAATACAAGCTCGCTTCTTTGCCCAGTCATTTTGCTTGGATGAGTCTAACTGTTCCTCGAGAGACCTATAGCTGCGACTGTTGTCGTGTATATTCTGGACGTGTTTCCACAAACATGTGTTGTGTAAGCCCTGCACAGTTAAGTGCCTCAAACTATCTGTGTCGTGAACAATTTGTTGCCAACAACTCCGCTGCTCGACTCCACCAATTTCAGGTTTTTCGACATGTCAAGGTCTCCCGTGATCAGTTCGTTCCAGAGAAATTTTTATTTTTATGACAGCATTTTTATATGGATGTGAACGTTTCCGTCAGCAGTTAGATTGTGGATACATCCGAATTTTGTACATAGTGAATAATTTTATCTTATTTTGCAGTGTTCAACGAAACCATAAGAACGGCCACCTTCATTACTTCCCTCTTGGATGTAATGCATCATTCTACTTCTTCTTTTAATATTTTATATATTAGCGCTCAGTATTAAAGAGCTGGTCACTCATATAACATAACATAACATAACATAGTGATGTCGGCTCTGAAGTGTAGGCCTGATGTGGCCTGTCGCCGATTCTTTTCCATTTCGTGCCTTGTTCATAGATCTAAACTCGTGTCATTTGACCGGATCTTTTCATGACTGGCGATAGTTTGAAGAAGCTACTAGACTTCCACCGGGTTCGATAAGGAGCTAGGCATTTCAAATCTGAACATATATTTTTC